CAGCAGTTTATTTCTGCTACAAAAGACGTGATACTGCCTATTACAGGCAGGGTTGCCAGGTTTTCACAACAAAACCCGTCCAATTGCTACTCAAAACTAGCCCAATCACGTTTCGAGGGGGATTCCCCGGTAAAAAAATCATATTCCGGTGGGGTAAAATACATGTTTCTGGTGGGGTTCCCCTGGTAAAATTAGCATGTTAGGGGATACATATCACGTTATTGGGGTCGCTTAAACCCGCGGAAATGAAAAACAACCTGTGGCAACTGTTAAAGTAGCCCAATTCCGCAGGAAAAACCGAGGACTTGGCAACACTGATTACAGGTCACTGAAAGTACTGCATCTTGTGCGTTTTGCACTTACTCACCCAAACTTGTCAACAAGGCTACTTTATGTGAATGCGAGTTCCTTAGCAAGTATTTGTGAATCAGAGGTGTTTTATGTACGAGATGAGGACATGACTGCAGCAGGCAATGAGGCCCAAACCAGCGCATCCACTGCAAGAAGGCTTCGGCCTTTTAATTTTACTTAACATTATTTTATTTATCTATTATACTGAAGAGACCTTTTTGAAAGATATTGTTTTTTGTTTGTTTGTTTTGTTTTGCAATTGTGAGGTGTTGAGAAAATAAACGTGAATGCTCTCCTCACAAATCAACTCTTTCTTGTTTTTGTTTCTCTGTGCCTTGCCCTGGACTTTTATGTCACTTCCTGTATCCCGTGGTGTTTGTAGTCCGTTTGTTCATTGGTTCCCATTGATTAGTCTCCCCAGGTGTGTCATATCTTGTTAAGCTTGTTAGCCCCCTGTGTGTATATATAGCCCTAGTTTTTCCTTTAGTTCCTTGTGAGTTGTTGAATGTAATGGTTGTTTGTTTGCCAGTCATTCTGTTCTTTGTTCCCTTTGGTTTTTGCCTTATTGTTTGTTCTAGTTTTTCCATGAAGTACCAGCACATAGATCCTTGCCTCTGCCTGTTTCCCCAGCTTCTCCACAACATTACAGTTTATCACTGGCATGTCTCTTTGACTAGTGCATCTTTGAGCTTATATTTAGTATAAGTAAAATACTTAGGTACTGTTAAAATCAGATACTCGTAATACTTTTACTCAAGTTGTTTTGGAATTGGTGACTTGTAACGTGTAGTGGAGTAATTTTCACTGTAAGGTATCTATCTGTACATTTACTCAAGTATGGTTTTTAGGTACTCTTTACACCTCTGGTGTGTGTGTGTGTGTGTGTGTGTTTTCTGTACTAATATGGAAACTGGCAAAAGGAAAATGTTCTGTGTCAGGAAAAGGGGAACTCATGTTATAAGCAAAGGAAAAGCTTTCAAGAATGTGCAGACAGTTGATTACAGCATGTTATAATCGACGAGTCATTGCACAATAAAGAGGATGCAGAATTTTTGTGGCATCCTCTTTGGCAGTAGAATGTGTATCTGTCACCACACGTCTCATTGGTCTTCCAGTTAGAGGTCTAATAGTTACAGCTATTGCCAATGGCATATATTACTTTAATGCCACATAACAGATTCATCTTGCATGACTTGTGACTAATAACATTTTGAATATCTTGAAAGGATACATATTTTAATAGAATTATTCTTAACAGTAAAGTAGCTGTCTTCAAGCTGTTAAAATAGTCTGCTTCAACGTGGTTGTTGAGGTACAGCCCTTGGAAAATTGTATCTTGAGAGAGAATTTTCCCGTCTACGTGTAACGTTTCTTCATGATTCCATTGCCAGTGTCCTGAGGCCGAGTGGAACATTAAAGTGAACGGCTCCAACAGTTCCTCTCCAACACCACCCTGTCCTGTCTTTGTGTGGAGTTGGATCTCTGTGTGTGTTCAGACAGAAGCTGTGCTTCCTTCCCTGCCTTCCTACCTCTTATTCTACAACAAACAGTTCTTAGTTAGAGAGTGTTTATAAAAGCAGGGCTCCTTAACAGGGGGAACGCAACTGTTCTGCAGGGGGTTCAGCAATTGTTTTGCGATCTCAATAATTTTGTGAGAAAATTAAATAATGCATTAAACAAAATATAATATTAGGTTCACTTCAACTGAAGCTAAATGCTTCAAAGTCTCTTCTACAATAAAATGTCAATTTTAAATGATTTGCAATGTAAGTATCACATTACATGATATAAATTAGAGATGCACTATATATTGGCTCCATAGTGATTATTGGCTTGTATTAGAGATTTTTTTAATCTATCCATATTGACTACATATTGTGTACACTATTCAGAAGTTTGGAGTCTGTACGAATTTGTTATGTTTTTAAAAGAAGCCTCTTATGCTTACCAAGACTGCATTTATATGATCAAAAACACAATAAAAAGAATAATATTATTACAATTTAAATAAGGTTTTTGATTCTTTGATGACTATAAAGTTCAAACAAACACTATTTATTGCATCCTTGCTGAATAAAAGTATTAATTACTTTAAAAATCTTACTGACCCTAAACATTTAAATAGTTAATTATGCATGCTCTTTTTTTACGTTTAGATTACCTTTACTGTCATCTATCACAAGTTAATTTTGATCCAAATACTTTGTATTAACAATATAATCTTTATCAAATCTCAAAATAAATATCTATTTTTCATACTGTAAATTATAATGTTGTAATGCCTAAATTCACTTGTAGCATAAAGCAATTGATTTCAGTTTCAGTGTTTTATTTTTTATTAAGATAAAATAGTATAGAATTCTAATATTGTTCAAGTATCCTTTCAAATACTCTATAAAATTGAGTGTTGTATTACATTTTACATCTCCTTGGTCTGTGTTTGAAGTTTAAACCGTTAAAGCCATCATACGTGAGAGGTAGTGTTTCAACAATCCATGTGTTCACAAGAAAACTTGCACATGTCTGGACATGAATGAAATGACATGAATGCAGTCAAGACATGTTAGTGCATATTCTAAGTGAATTCTAAATGTCACCAGACAGACTACAGAATGCAACTGAAGTGCACAAATCTGAGACAGATTTGATATAGAAACTGCTTTTGTGCACACGTCTTTGTGGTGAGATATGGTGCTCTTGTGCAAATACAGTTGTCTCTGTGGACTTTATTGCAGTTCCTCTAGGCATCTCTTTTCAAAGGTTGAGCGTTTGCTGTCTCCATGGCAACCACATCTCTCTATGGCTGTGTAGGATATCCTCTGCATTTCAAAACAGTTCCCACAGTCTGTGCTTTCATAATAGAGTGCCACCTCCCCATGGTCCTCAACTATGCCTGCCATTAGATAATCATCACATGCAACCCTCCGATATCGAACCGTGTGCTATCCGGGTTTATGCTTTTTTTATCCTGTTACATGACGGATGTGTGCATTTGTCTGCATCCGTTAACTCACACAGAGTACATGGTTATGGTTAAGGCTGTTT